GCCTGCACCGCCTTCCTCCACCTTGAATCACACGGCCTCTGCTCCTAATTGGGCATGCATTTATTTGCACGATTGAGGTCATTTTCTTAGAAATTCGCCTGGAAAAGCCATCAATGCCATAGATCCGAATCGAGCGCGCGGCGCGCCCCGTCGGATTCATGGTCTACCCGATTAGCCTGCTCACCTCCCTCTCCATCTTCTTAGTATTAGCAACAGATTCCGACTGACAGGGTGTATTTCGACTGGATACATGCTCATTCCGATTGACGAGGTGCGAGCCGGCGGAGGTGGGGCCATTGGCGGGGGTGATGACCAAGAAGAGGATGATTAGATGGTAAAGTCTGAAATTTTGGATCTAGGGCTATTTTTTGCAAATTAGACAAGTGTAAGGGACTTATATATAAATTAATAATTTTCAACTATATTGCAAGTTCATGAGTTAAATTTGTATATTGATAAAAGTTTAAAGTTGCGCAATGATGCTCAATGTAATGCACACTATCACGTTTGGATTTGCACATAATAAACACCCGTACTGTATAATGCACCATAGTGTTAAACATGATGCACATTATTGAATATTAGACTGCACAATAATATTAACTGAAATACAAATTATTGAAATATTTTAAAATCGAAATGCAAATAAAAAAATACCCTCTACATAAAGTCAATGGATAGATTGTCTAAAATATCCAATCTATAGGTAGTCAATTTTTACTTTTAAAATTATGGCTTCTCGTTCGATTTCGTTTTTATTTTAAAACAACCGAAATAACCGAACCGTCAAAAATTTTTAATAAAAAATATTATTTATTATATTATACATATATTATGTATCCCAACAAAAATAATATAATATGTTAAAATATAAATATTACAATACTAAATATAGTTTACTAATATAAATAGTAATTATTTTTTTATATTTTAGTTAATTCGATTTATAGACAGATTGCACATTAGTGATGAACGAATTGCATATTAGTGACTGACAGATTGCACCATAGCGAGCGAACTCGACAAACTACATTTTTTGGTCTGAAGTTTATATTTTTGGATGCCGATTGTCCATTTCATTTTTAAATAATTGATTATTTCGGTTCGATGTCAACTTTTTATATAAAAAAATAACTAAATTAATAGAAATATAAAAAAAATATATTTTGTTATTTATATATTGCAGGTTTTTACAATTAAAAGTAATATTGAATATTAGATAAAATAGTATGCTAATTAATATATTTTTAAAATTTAAAAATATAAATTATTTGGTTATTTATGTTAATTTGGGTAACCGATCAAATAAATCGAGAATTTCGTTTGACTTCAGTTTTGGGTTGGGGCAATTCATAAAAAGTTTATACACTGCGATTGCACAATTGTGTTAGATGAATTGCACATTAATGACTAGCATATTGCACTAAATCGGCCGAACTCGACCAAACTATGTGTTTGGGTCCAAACTTTATATTTTGGTTCGATTATCTGTTTTGGCTTTTAATATTTTGGCTATTTCAGTTTGATGTCAGTTTTATTTTTTAAAATAATCGTACTTATCGAACATTATAAAAATATGTTTTTTTATTTTTTGTTTGTTTTAGATCTTTACCACGAAAAGTAATACAAAAATATTAAATAAAATATTAAACTATTAAATGTATTTTATAATATAAATTCTAATTTATTTCGATAAAGCGATCAAATAAATTGATCTATTTCGTTCAATTTTAGTTTGACTTAGGCAAATCGTAAATAATTCATCAACTTCGTGTGCACAATTGTGTTATAAAAAATGCACATTAATGACTAACGAATTGCACTATTCCCGAAACCGATCGAAATTAAATTTTCGGTTCAAATTGTTGT